AAGTTAGAAAGAAAAGTGATAGGATTATGAAACCTAGAGGATTCTCAGGAGTCTTTCTGACTCAAAAGTGCGGACGACTAAATGCCAGGCCACAGTAAACTGTGAATTGAGTGAGTTCTTGTGTTGGGGTTACTATCTAATGGCTCCCTCATCAAGAAAGTGTTTATATACGAGAACCCAAGTTTCCACTGACCTGGGACTAGCAGGACATGGCACTAATAACTAAGGAGAGCTTCTAAAGAAAGCAAGTGTGGCTGCCTAATTTGTAGTAAGATACATATGAAAGGTGCAAAGTGGATACTTGAGGCAGAAGCAGAAGTCTGGACCTTTCCAAGGGGTCTATTGATTGTTTGGTTTTGCATGTCCAAATGCAGACTGGGCTGTATTCCAACAGTTGCTGGTGTGCGATCCTCAGACTTTTCGCTTTTCCTGTACTATGTACCCATATGGGGGAAATGCCATAGAACTGCTACAACTTTTCATCTTTCACTGGAAAAATGCATCTTCCAGGGAAGGCAAGACCCAATGTATACTCTCCAAGGGCTCACAGGGGAGAAGTGACTTAGTCTACATTTTGCAATTTTGTATCTTTTTGAAACATGTTTCTAGTTACTGTAAAGACAGGAACCTATGTTTCTGTTCAGCAGTTTCTCAGGAGTTCTGGACTTCACATGGGTTAAGTTCCTCCAAAGGATGAATCAGTCATCTACACCTTCACCTGAAAAATGGTTGTTGCTAGCCCAGACATGGTGGTGCATGCCTAAGATCTCAGCACTTGAGAGGTCAGGGCAAGAGAATTCCCTTGAGTTTAAGGCTAGAGTGAGACCATGTCTCAAAAAACCAAGTAAAAGAAGTACAAACAAACAAAAACCCCTTCACACTGACAAGTATCCCATTTGACAAGCTGTTCATTTTATACATATGGTGGTTTTTTAAAAGACAGTCTCATGTAGCCCAGGCTGGCCTTGAACATGCTATGTAGTCAAAGATGACCTTGAACTTCTAATTCCTGCCTTCCACTCCAAGTGATTAGGATTACAACCAATGCAACCATACCTGTTTGATGAGATGCTGGGAATCAAACTCAGGACCTTGTGCATGCTAGGTTGGTACTCTACTAACTGAGCTATATTCCCAACCCTCCTATAGTGATCTTTTTCTTACTACCATTACTGAATCTTCTGATTACCCAGAGTAATGCATTACTTACAGATAAGTTAAAAACTAAGTTAAAGTCACTTATGGGTCAGCAAGATGGCTCAGTGGATAAAGCCTGATGACCCGAGTTCAATCTCTAGCTGGAATCCACACGGTGAAAGGAGAGAATATTAGTTTGTGTGCGCGTGTTCAAGGGGGCTAGAAAAAAAAGGTGTTGGATTCCCTGGAGCTGGAGCTACAGATGGTAGTGAGCTGCATGATGTGGGTGCCAGGAACCAAACTCAGGTCCTCTGCAAGAGCAGCGACGAGTTCTTGTTCTCTCTCTCTCTCAACTGAGACAGGGTCTCACTATATAGAGTGCATTTTTTCCTGATGGTAGTACATGCCATCCCAGCACTCAGGAGGCAAAGGCCGGTGGGTCTCTGTGAGTTACAGACCAGCCACGACCTACATAGTGAGACCCTGCTCCGCTCCCCCTACCACCCGAATCCACAAACAAAAACCTTGAAGCTGTAGAGCTTGCCCTCCCCCCTTTTTCTTGGCCTGCCTAAAGGATGGTAAAAAAGAAGTGTGAACTTAGAAACATTGTAAATATACCATATATTACTGGGGTGTAGCTCGGGAGCAGAGACCTCACCTAGGATACATGAAGCCTTGTGTGAAGTCCTCCACGCCCTAAATATACAAAACACAACAAATGAGGACAGATACAGCACCGTAAGTACTCCTGTTAGTTTCCTGTGGGACAATTTTTATTCTAATGCTCATTTCTAACAAGTATTGACTGACTGAGACAGGGTCATGCCATGTAGCTCAGTTTGGCCTTAAATTCTCAATTCTCCTGCCTCAGCTTCCTGAATGGTGGAATTACAGGTGTGGACCACTATACCCAACTCAAGAAGCACACACACATACACACGTGTGGCTAGTCTGGGCTACAGAGTTCCAGTCAATAACAACAAATGTGCCAGTGGCACACGCCTTTATTCCTACGACTTTGAAGACAGAAGCAGGGGGATCTCTGTGAGTTCGAGGCCAGTGTGGTATACATAATGAGTTCCAGGCCAGTCAGAGCTACATAATAAAAACAAACATACAAACAAACCAAACCAAAAAATCTAGCCAGGCACAGGAGTTGGAAGAGGGAAGGTCAGAAGTTCAAGGGCAGTCTCTATTGAAAGTTCGAAGCCAGTTTGGGCTATGTGAAACCCCTTTCCATAAAATAAAAATCAGGAGCAGGTGAGATGGTTCACCGAGTAAATACGTTTGCCACAAAAGTCTGGAAACCAGAGTTAGATCTCTGACAACTACGTAAAGGTGAAATGACAAAACCTGTTCCACCAAGTTGTTCTCTGACCTCCACTTTAGCACTGTGGAACATGCAAACACACACACACACACACACACACACACACACACACACACACACACACTATAAAAAAGATTGCAGGGTGATGGTGGCACATGCCTTTAATCCAGCACTCAGGAGGCAGAGGCAGGAGGATCTATGTGAGTTTGAGGCCAGTCTGGTCTACAGAGTGAGTTCCAGGAGAGGCTCCAAAGCTACACAGAGAAACCCTGTCTCCAAAAATCATAAAAAGAAAAAAAAATTAAAAATTTAAAAAAAAAAAAGAGGCCTGGAGGGATAGCTTGGTGGTTAAGAGCACTGGTTTTTCTTGTAGAGGAACTGGGGTCTGAATCCTAACATCCACACAGCAGCTCACAACCATCTGTAAGTAATTCCAGTTCCAAGGGATCTGACACCCTCTTCTGGCCTCTGTGGGTCCCAGGCACATACATGTGGTATACAAACATACATGTAGGCAAACACTTACACACATAAGAAATTAAAAAAAAAATTAAAAGCACAGAGCTGTAGTTCTATGGAATAGTCAATCATTCTGAACTACACATCAGTCACCAAAATTCTAGGAAACTTAGAGTCTCATAATAATAAACTACTGACAAGTGTTTCAGGTAAAGGTTCAGGGGAAACAATGAGTATTGCTCAATCATATTGACCATGCTCTCTGGGTTAGTTGCTAGGTACTGAATCAAGTATATAGTTCTCAAATGGATGGAGGAAATGAAAATATCCAGTTTTCAGTTTCCTCTCTTTCAGATTCATTAATTTGTTTAAATACTTTAATGTACTTATTCATCGAGTTGCATCAGAAATTATTTTTGTACTTGTGGTAGCAATGACAAGTAGTTCCTTTGTAATGTTGCACCAGTCAATACCTGTTTTTGCCTAAGGATGTATCCAAACCAATTCTGGATAATCCAGCTTTGAAGTGGGTTGGGCAGTGTTTTTTTTTTTTTTTTCTTTTCTTCTTAGTTGCTTAGTTTGGATTGTGAGCTAGTCACACATGCCTTGAAAACATCGGAGGATGCAGGCTAATTAAAACTGTATATGTTAGCCGCCACACCTTTAATCCCAGCACCTGGGAGGCAGAGGCGGGTGGATCTCTGTGAGTTCCAGGCTAACCTGGTCTACAGAGGGAGTTCCAGGACAGCCAGGGCTACACAGAGAAACCTTGTCTTGAAAAAACCAAAACAAAACAAAATAAAACAAAGAATCCAACAACAACAAAACCTGTGTATGTTGTTTACATAAAAAGTTATATAAAATAAGATCTCTCCCATTTCCTACAACTTACTATCTAGAAAGAACATTTACTAAGTATGTTCTTATCATAGGAAACACTGTCCTTGGCATATGAAATGCCAAAATGAGCAATTATCAAGTCTAAGAAATCTTAAAAGTAATAAAAAAAAAATGCTTGGCAGAACCAAGTGTTGGTATTACAAGCATGCCTGATTATGCCCAGAAACAAAACAAAACAAAACAAAAAAACCCAACACTATATTTTTGTGAGCTTGGCTCTTAACGGCCAAGAGATGGTTGATTTCTTCAGCCCATTTATATTCTTTATAGTATTTTCAAAACCCAATTTAATGGAGGTGAAATACTGAATATTGCACAATGGAGACAGATACAATTCTTAATAAGAGCTCTAAGAAGAAAATGACAAATCTTTTGTTTTTAGCTAATGTGTACATCAGCTGGATAAAAGGACATTTTTTTCATGCAAGCTTCACCAAATCCCTTTGTGATTTTAAATAATGAATTAGTGAGAAACCGTAACACTTTTAACCATTTTTATTGATAAAAAGGGGGAAGGGGTTGAGACGGAGAGGAAGGGGAATCATTAGAGAGACCGGTGAGCTCCTTGGTCAGAAATTTTGTTAGAACTGGTTTAGCTGGCAGAACCCAGGACGCGCAGCGAACTCCTGAAGAAAGAGAGAGGATTAACTAAGAAAAACGAATCTTCTCTCTAAGTTGGCCACTCTGCTCAGCTCTGCGTGCTGCTATCAACTTTAACTTAGAGCCACCCAGTGGGGAGGGGTGCTCACGTTCCCATTTTACAGAGAGTAACATCAAACGCGCCGAGGTCACCCAACAAGGAAGTGGCGGCACCTGACCAGAAAGAGCCCGCGCGCGCGCGCGCACGCCCTCTGCTTTGCGTCCAGCCTCGCGGTGGGATTCCACGCACCGTTCCATCTTCCTCCTCCGCGGGACAGTTCCCGGGACGGAGGGATGGCGCTGTCCAGCCCGCGGCCCCGCCGGGCCGGGCCAGCCCAGCCCAAGGCTGCAGAGCCTGGCCACCACCTGGCGCGCGGGCTGGACCCAGAAGCCTCGGGACGGCCACCCGGAGCGGCTCCCGGGTTGCTTAAGCTCCGCGCGCTGGGTTCAGCGTCCAGAGCGGTGCGGGCGCGGGCGCTCCCCGTCCCCGGCTCCCTCCCAAACAGCCGGAGGCAAACGGGTTAAGTAGCCTCACCTGTCCCGGGGGCGGAGCCTGCTGTGCTGACTGACGTCGCGGTCCGCCAACTAGGCAAGGGCAGGAAGAAGGGGCTTCGCTGAGACTGATTGCTTCTTTCCGCCAATCCCCGTGCAGCTACTTCCGGCCATAGCCGCGGCGCCCGCGGGAGAGCGACAGGTGGGAGCTACTTTGTTACCTCGACGCCTCTTGCATCTTGGACGCACAAGACTCTCCAAGCGAAGGGTTAGGTTTACTTCCTATTTTGTTCATTCTTGCGGGTTTTCACGCCAGCCCTCCTTTTAATGAGAAATGGAAATTCCCCAGCCCTTTCCCGTCACCTCAGATGGGGGCGGGATGAACAAGACCCCCACAGGCCAATTGTACCACGCGACGTCCCGTGACAAAATGACCGACAGTCTCTGGCGCCAATTGAGTTCCCCATTGCTAGGGTTCATTGTGAGTGGCCGCCGGGCCAACTAATCCACTTTAAGGTCGTGATACGATAGTCACGGAGGCTGACCAATCGACAGACAGGGAGACCGGAAGTCAGCGCGGGAGAAGTAGGGGGGCGGGCGTTCACAACCGCCTAGGCCTGCGCGGGTCAACGCAGCTTGGGGGCTGCGAGCCAGCTAGCAGCGCGTGACGGAGAGCGTGAGCGACAGATCGCTTCGGCCAATGGTTCGCAGGCGCCTGGGAGTCGCAACCAGTGATGAGTCTAAGGGGCGGGAGGCAGCAGGTTAGGCAGTGAGAAGTTAGTGGCGCTGCTGGGACGGGGGGGAAGGAGACGCTTCTTCCTCCTGCTGCTCCTCACCTTCCTGGGATCAGCCGCGGCTGGGGCCGCGAGTGATTCCGCGGCGTCTCCGGCTCCGCGCGCGAACCATGCTGACGGACAGCGGGGGCGGCGGCACCTCCTTCGAGGAGGATCTGGACTCCGTAGCTCCGCGATCCGCCCCAGCTGGGGCCTCGGAGCCGCCTCCGCCGGGAGGGGTCGGGCTGGGAATCCGCACCGTGAGGCTCTTTGGGGAGGCTGGGCCCGCGCCGGGAGTCGGTGGCGGTGGTGGCGGCGGCGGCGGCGGCGGCAGCGCGGGCGGAGGGGACGCAGCGCTGGATTTCAAGTTGGCGGCTGCTGTGCTGAGGACGGGCGGCGGAGGTGGTGCCTCTGGAAGCGACGAGGACGAGGTGTCCGAGGTATAGCTCCAGGACCCTTGTCTCTAACATTGCGTGAGACGTGGATTCTTTGGGTCGACACCCGGCGGCTGGTGCGCTCTCCCGCTTCCCGGGTGCAGTGCTCTCTTGACAGCAGTCGCCTGCAGGGCGACGGTGGCAGCGGCGCGGGCCTAGCGAGCGCTCTGCTTGCTCTTGGGCGCGCGTCTGGAGCGGGACGGCTCCCCGTCCCCCGTCTGCAGACCCACAATAGGGAGCTCTTTAGTCTGCGAGCTTCGCGCGGGAACCCGGACTCCGCAGGCTACCTCCCGCCCACCCCGCGTTGGAGATGGGGGAGGGCGGGGTCTTTGGAGCCCGAGTCCCTGCCCTTGGTACTGAGGGAGCCCAGAGACAGATTGGAGGACACAGCTAGCTCAAAAAAGCCTCTCTGCTGTTCCTCTGCCTTACCGTGTTGCCTTGCCTATGCATTTAAGTAGAGCGCTTCTTATTTTCTCCTTAGTTTGAGGCAGGTGAGTATTAAGTTTCTCAGCTTTCACGCTGAAAAAAATAATCACGTGACTGGCTCTTGGACGTTTTGTGAAGTTCGACAGGAAAAGGAAGTTCCAAGGCATCTTTGAGCTTCGGAATAGCTGGATAGTCGAACGCTGAGGTTTTTAGCCTGGGAGAAGGTGAAGCATCCAACACACACCTTTTCTCGTGAAGAAAATGAGTTGAGCTCTTGCATTTCTTTTAGCACGTGTGCACATTTCAGGTGTGAGCAACTTAGGATGGTAGATACTCTTTGGTCTCTTGGGAGAAAAGATGACATACATAGTTGTAGATATTTGCACACTTAATCGCATAGTATACATTTATAAGTCACTATTTTCTTTGACAGTGGTCAGACTAGAGCACTGTACTGTGATATTTTTAAAGTGCTCAGAATTACTGTTTTTTTTTTTTTTTTTTGGCAATGATTTATTGAATGTTTTAATTTAGCCTGTGAGTTGCTGTGTAGATCAGGCTGACTGAACTTTATGTGATCCTTCTCCTGCCTATATCTCCTTAGTGCTGCATTACAGGTGTGCAACACCATGCCTAGCTAACTATTTCTTCAATGTTGGTCCTAACATGCCTGGTTCATCCCTTGTGATTTTAACCTCTGGTTCTGGTGTTAAAGTACAGGAATTTCTGTGTACCACAATGATCCTGGCTTGTACATTTGAGAGAAATAAGGAGAAATTACTGCAGAATACAGTTACACACTGTTATTCCTATGTCTGAACAGGAGTTTCTTTGGACTCAACATTTTACTTTGGAAAAAAAAAAAGCTATGTATGTTATCCATTCATATTTTTCAATTTCACTGTAAGAAAATAAATGCTAAGCCAAGAGATGAGAGAAGAATTTTACTTGGGTAGTCAGTTGTTGGGATGGGTAGTCAGTTGTTGGGAGAGTCTGCAGCTCCCTCAATTTTGGGTTTGTGGAAGGCTTTATCCTTTTAGTGAAACTCGATGAGAGCTGAACCCAAAACACATGTTTAGCTAGGAAATAAACTGGTGGTTAACTTTAGATTCTAAAATTTTGTTTCATTTTTCTTTGTAACTTGAAAGGGAAGCTCTGAAAAGGTTGGCTTTATTCTAAATGTTAGGGGAAGATAGTCACCTTGATTTGGGGACCACTTTGACATAATTGGCATGGATGAGATTAGAGGTTACTAATAGCTTTTATGAATAGTGTTTAAATTTCTTCACAGATAAAAGTGCTAGTGAACTTCCAAGTCAAATTTCTGTTTCAGTCACACACACACATTTCATATAATGTGTGTTAAAGCTATAGGTATACCTTTTCATCCTTTTTTTTTTTTTTTTTGTTTGAGACAAGGTCTTACTGTGTAGCTCTGGCTGGCCTGGAACTGGCTTTGTAGACAAGTTGGCCTTAAATTCACAGAGATCAATCAGCCTGCTTCTGCCTTCCAAGTATCAGGATTGAGTGCATGTACTGCCATGCCCAGCTTAATACTTAAAGAATTATTATTATTATTATTATTTGCTTTTATATGTAATGGTGTTTTGCCTATATGTGTGTATACCACTTGAGTGCCTGGTGCCCATGGAGTCCAGAAAAGGATGTCATGTCCCCTGAAACTGGAGTTACAGCTGTTTGTGAGCCATCATGTCAGTGCTAGGAATTGAACTGGGGTCCTTTGGAAGAACAGTCAGTGTGCTCTTAACCACTGAGCCATCTCTCCAGCCTCAGAACACCTATTCTGTTGGTTTTGTTTTTTCAAGACAGGGTTTCTCTCTGTGACAGACCTGGCTGTCCTGGAACTCACTTTGTAGACCAGGCTGTCAGAGATCACAGAGATCCACCTGCCTCTGCCTCCCAAGTGCTTGGATTAAAGGCATGCGCCACCATGCCTGGCCAGAACATCTATTATTCTCCTGCTTACTTATATATTCTGTGCCAAAAAAAAAATGATTTTGGATATGAGTGTATATTCATATTTTTTTCTTTTTGTGGACAGGGTTGTACATTGTAGCCCAGGCTGGACTTGTGTATGCTAGGCAGTCTTCTGTCTGTGCCACCATTATGTCTGGTTGGCTGGCCTTCTTTTCTTTTTCTTCCCTTAAAAACAACAACAATAACAACAACAGAAACAAAACAACTTTAGTTTTGGAATGTAGCTCTCTGAGGTTTATAGAGATTTTTGGAGAGAAAGGGTGGGGTTTCATGTGCATGCAGTTTGTTAACCTGTGGAGAAGGAAAGCTATTTTTGTGGTTTTTTCCTTTTAGAAAAGAAATTCTTGAAATATTTCATAGCAGCCGTAAGTGTTGTAGGGTATATATAGTCTGCCTTTGTAAATGAAATGAACTATTTTGCTTAAGTAAGCTATTTACCTTTTCTGTTTTCTCTTTCATGAGCTGTCTTATCCTTTTGCTTTAGAAGGGATAACAATGTTCTTAGAAAAATACTAATGTATGAAGTATTTGATGAAATAATAATAAAATCCTAATTTTCATGTTTCCTAAATTATTTTAGAGACAATGAATTAGTTGTTACATAGTTGGAAGTGGAGACTGTCTTCTTCCCCATTTGGGGCAGAAGGTAAGAAATGAGAAAGAAAAGACCAGTACTGTCTTTTGCTGGTTATGTTAAAAGGTCCTGCAGTTTGAGGAGGGGATCTAGGACTATTACTATTAGTAAATTTTTTTCCTTAATCTTAATCTATTATTATTATTATTATTATTATTATTATTATTATTATTAGTGCAGTAGCATTCTTGTGGATGTCATATGGCAACTTGTGGAAGTCAGTTCTCTCTACTATGAGTTCTGGAGTTTGAACTGAGATGGTCGGGCTTGAAGTGTTTGTGACTGCTGAGCCATCTCTCCAGCCTCCATACAATTTTTTTTTTTTTTAATACTGGAGTTATATTATCTTAGGGAATGCTGTCATTTGGTTATTTATTTGTTTAGTGGTGTTGGGGATTAAACCTAGGGCCTTGCATATGCTAGCAGTACTCTCTAATTATATCCCTAGCATCTCTTTACTTTGTAAGATTTGAGAGAGGTGCTTACTAAGTTGCCCAGGCTAACCTTGACCTTGCTTTTTAGCTCAGACAGGGATTAATCTTGTTTTGTTTTTGTTGTTGTTGGATTTTGGGTTTTGTTTTTTTTTTTTGTGTGTGTGTTTTTGAGACAGTCTCACTATGAAGCCCTGGCTGTCCTGAAACTTATGGAGATCCACCTACCTCTGCTTCCCAATTGCTGGGATTATGCCACCACACTGGACTTAGAACTTTTGATACTTCTGCTTCAGCCTCAGTGTTAATAGGCGACACCACCAGATTCAGCTGTTGCATATGGATTTTTTTTTAAATATTTATTTATTTATTATGTATACAGAAGAGGGTGCCAGATCCCATTGCAGATGGTTGTGAGCCACCATGTGGGTGCTGGGAATTGAACTCAGGACCTCTGGAAGAGTAGTCAGTGCTCTTAACCTCTGAGCCATCTCTCCAGCCCGCATATGGATTTAAATATAGGGGAATATCTGTTTTGTATTTCTTCAGGGTTATTGAGTCTCTTCCTTCTCCATATAAGTCCTTAACTAGAGGAGTAAGAACTTACATTAGATAATAGAGGTCAGGTTAAAAATTTCTTAGAGCTAGGTACAAAACTAATCCAGTGAGTTGGGAGAATGAGTCAGGGGATCAGGAGTTAAAGGCCAACTTCAGTTTCATAGCAGGGCCAGCCTGAGCTACATGAGAACCTGTCTCAAAAAAAAAAAAACCAATATGAATGAGTTAAAATTATTTTTTAAAGATTTATTTTTATTTATTTGTATATGTGTGGTTCTGTTGGAATCTCTAGAACTGGAAGGCGGTTGTAAGCAGTCCAGTGTGGGTGCTGGGATCTAAATTCAAGTCCTCTGTAAGAGTAGTCCATG